TATATTTTGGGGTTAGGCTGTCCAAATTGCACTGTATAATATATTTTGAATTAATATGTTCTTAGGTTTTTTTTGAAATATATATATATATATATATATATATATATATATATATATACATGTATTAATTCAACCTTAATCTGAGTTTATGGACAAGAAAGAGGGTAAACAGTTGAAATTTTATTCTAAAACCCATATTTTTTTTGTCTTTTCATGGCTTATGATCTGTCAAATTTGTAGTTTTCTTTATTGGTTTTGAGTTTATCTTAAAACTCAAGTTTCTTGGTTCTCTGCTCTTGGTGTAAATCAAATACATTTGTGGAGTCGTTTAAATATGTTGGATTTTAAATATATTGGATTTTAAACTGTCATACAATTTTTTTTCATCGATAGTCTATAATTGGAACCATAACTCTTATTTATTCAAATTGTATTAATATGTAAAGACCAAGTGTAACATATATAATCGTTAAATTTTATCTTATAAAACCAGTGGAACTTCAAAATCGTTAAAATTCATGGCTCCCGCTGCATTGCTCGGGTACACAACTAGTTTCATTATAAACAATTACCAAACAGTTATATTTCATTTTACACTATATCATGAGAGCCGCTTAATTATTCTGCACCACTTAATTACTCTGCACCAAACCATTAATTTGTCTGTAGAGATTAAGAGGTTTTTATTTAAAACGATTTTTTTTGGGAAAAAATTGAGTTTCTGGATAAAGTTTCCTTAAAAGTTTATTGAATAAACAACTTTTAAGTTATTACCAAACAGTTGTGTATATTTGACCGAATAAATTGTGGGTCACGTTAAGCTTACTAAACTGTTTACAAGCAAACCCTAATTCGCATCGATTATAAGGGAAAATCATATAAATATTTTTTAAAAGTTCAAAAACGTAATAATCAGTTTTAAGTGGGGGTGTAAACGAATCGATCTTTTAAGGAGCTACTTGGGCTCGAGTCAATCTCGAATTCAAAAAAGTTGGTACCATGTACAGTCGGTTGTTATACGGTATAAATATTTGTATACCAATTATAATTAGTTGGTACATGATATTGAGAAAAAAAAGAATATGGTACCATATCATGTTCATTCTTATTGAAGATATTCTAATATTAATGTCTTTGAAAGTAGATTTCGTATGAAATTGAGAGGTTGTTTTACTTCTTAACAGTTTCATTAGGTAGCGTTTGGTACGTAAACATAATTAAACAGGATTGAACATGACAGGACAGAACAAGAGGGTAGGACTGGACGAGACTGGACTGGACATAACAGGAGTATGTATGGTGTTTGGTACGACTAGGACTGGACGGGACAGAACTAGACAAGCTACCCTCAAAAGTTATTTGATGATTTTAAATATTATATAATAATTATAATTAACACAAATAAAGTAGTGGTGGTGGTGTTGGTGGTATTGGTTATGGTGGAGGTGGTGGTGGCCGACGGTAGTAGTGGCAACAGGCGGTGGTGGTTGGTGGCCAACAGTGTTATGGAGGTAGATGCAGTGGTGCTTGGTGAACGACGGTGGTTATAGAGGACATGAAGATGGTAGATTGTGGTGGTGGTGGCAGTTGACGACGATGGAGGAGGTAGTTGTGGTTGATGTAGTGAAGATAGTGGTAGTGATGGTTATGGTGGAGGTGAGGTGGCAATGATTGGTGGTGGCCGATGGTGGTCTTGGAGGAGGTTGTTGTAGTAGAGGAGGAGTTGAAGGTAGCAAACGGCGGTAGTGGTGGTGGCAATGTACGGTGGTGGTAGGTGGTCGACTATGGTAGAGGTGGCAATGGACTTGGTGGACGGTGGTTGTGTAGGCAGTGGAGGATGTTGTAGTGGAAGAGGAGGTGGAGGTGACCGCCGGTAGTGGTGGCGGCGGCTGAAACTAGCGGTGATGGCCATTAAAACAAATATCATATTAAGGTTATATATCAAACTAGGGTAGATTAATAATATTTTAGTTTTTATCTCATTCTTGTCCCATCTTGTTCCACCTATTTTGGTGGAACAAGAAAAAACCTCTTTTGTTCCACCTTGTCCCAGTTCTTGTCCCTGTCCCATGTCGCGCCAAACATGAGACAATGAGTTATTGTTCTGTCCCATGTTGCGCCAAACATGAGACAGTGAGTTTTGTCCCGTCCTGTCCTATCCCGTCTCATGTACCAAACGCGGCCTTAAGAGGCAACATTTGAACCGTTAAGAGGTGAATATTGTTTAGTAAAAAAAAAATCTGGCTCTTAATGGTTCTAAAACCTTATGAATGATTTTGTATCATGTGTCTTCCTTAACCATTAAGAGCCCTAATTTCATTATAAACAATTACCAAACAATTATATTTGATTTTATATTATATCATTAGAGCCTCTTATTCATTCTGATCACTTAATTATTATGAACAAAACTATTCGGCAACTGTGAATGAGATTACTTCAAAGTTTATACTTTTTAGGCCCATTTGGCTTTACAATGGGCCTTATTGGCCCTAAAGGCCCAATCAGCCCATTAAAGATAACGCCTTCTACCCTGTGAAAAGCTACACTCTGTGTGTGTGTGTGTGTGAGAGAGAGAGCTGCCATTGAACTCTGCGAACAAAGCTCGAAAGAAGCAAAGAAATGAACACAGACATTACTGCATCGGCTAAGCCGGAATATCCAGTCATAGATCGAAATCCTCCCTTCACCAAGACTGTCGCCAACTTCAACACCCTCGATTACCTTCGACTCACCACCATCTCCGGCATCTCCGTCACCGTCGGATACCTTTCTGGTCATTCACCTTCTTCATTCTCAAACACATTCATTTAATTCCTCGTTTGACTTTTGAATAACGTGAGATTTGTTTTGATTTTGCAGGAATTAAGCCAGGGATCAGAGGTCCGTCTATGGTGACAGGGGGTTTAATAGGAGTGATGGGTGGGTTCATGTACGCTTATCAGAACTCGGCTGGACGTCTCATGGGATTCTTCCCCAACGACGGTGAAGTCGCTCGTTACAAGAAGTAATTTCCCCTTTTTCCCAAATTTTCAATCTAGGGTTTCCTTTTTTGTTTGCTGAACGAATCTCAAGTGGATCAATTGGCCTAGTCTATGAATCTATACGACGCACTTATGTGCATCGTTTTAATAATCAAATTGTTCCTTGCTGCTTTTATTGTTATAATTACTTCCAATTTTTGTGAAAATGAAGAACTATTGGCATAATTAATGTATTGTTATTGTGGCATTTTGGAAATGCTTACTACCAATATTCATTGGCTGCTTATAGATTGCTGTTTGTCAAAGTTTGAAACTATTATGAATCATTGTGTTCATAGATTGTAGTGTGCTACTTACTGGAATCAGTCCTAAAGATCAACAGAATAATCGACGGGTTTAATCTCTGGAAATTTGAGTCTTTCTGCATCCTGTCCCATTACTGAATGCCTGCCTATGAACATTTTCTTGGGTGTTGCTTTATGAACCCCAGATCAAATCATAGCATTGTAAATGTAAAAATGTGCCTATATGAACCCCAGATCAAATCATGGCATTGTAAATGTAAAAGTGTGTTGCTATATGAACCCCAAATCAAATCATGGCATTGTAAATGTAAAAATGTGTTGTTATATGAAGCCAAAATCAAATCATAGCATTGTAAATGTAAACATGTGCTATGAACCCCAAATCATAGCTATATGAACCTCAAATCAAATCATAGCATTGTAAATGTAAAAACTTGTTGCTATGAACCCCAAATCAAAATCATAGCATTGTAAATGTTAAAAGGTGCATCAGTATGAAATTTGTAAGAAGGGTTGTGGGGGGGGGGGGTTCATTTGGCCTAGCCCTTTACTTTTTTATCTTGCTCGTACTTTCTAGAACTCGTTTTGATCTTGGCATAAGTAGTTCATGAACATTTATCTGAGTGTTCAATGTTTGTTTACCATTGTCTCCTGGAATCATAGCAATTTACTGCTATCGGTGAACATGCAAATGAGTAAACTAATGATCATCATTTACATATCGCTTACAAGTTATATTGATTTTTTTTGGCTTTAGATAGTTTCTTTATATTTGGATTATAGATGGTATGTAGTCAATTAATGGCATTCTTCCATCATGGAAATTCATAAAGCCATGAATTTAGGGGTTGCTCTTTAGGGATTCATCTTTCTTTCTCTAATTTGTATGAGGAGAAGATGTAAACTTTGGATCTTGTGTTCTATTTTTATCTGGTTTACTTTCCTGTTGCCTGTTCTTGCTCATAATTCAGGGATTCCTGGTCTGTTTGTTTTGGAGGGTTGTAGAAAGCATTGATAAGTTCTTGATCATTTACATGAGTGATGCTTAAGTGGTATGTGAGGAGAAGATTGATGTTATAGTATTGTAAGATAATTGATTATTTTGATAGAGAGGGCTTCAGGGAGCGTTTGGTACGTAAGATCGGACGCGACTATATAGCAACTCGTCGCACGTTTGGCTTGATGTTGAGGACTGTTTGGTTGGTTTTCCATTAAATCCTATGGAGCTAATTGTGTGGATTAATCTGTCTGTATAGATGGAAGAGTTTATTCATAGATGGAAGAAGCGTGCTTTTTTTAATTGTGAGAAACAAGTTTGGAAAAAACTTGACTTTCTACGTAAAGCTCCCCCCTAGAAGCTTACCAAATAAGCCACTTTCTATATTATCAAGGCACTACTAAACAGTCATGTATAGTTTAACCACATAAGTTGTGAGTCCCATTAAGCTTATTAAGTTGCTAACAAGCCCTGGTTAGGATGGGACTAATTAAGACGAAAATAGGTGGAACAAAAATCAGGGAGATGGACACGATTGGTAAATTACTAAACTACTCATTTCAAATTAAACTCTAAAACCTTCCATAGTTTTTTTACTTGCCTACCTCTTACAGTTTTTTGTATAGATTTGTGTTATGAAAGAAAGTAGGGCTACATTGTGTATGTTTAGACAAATTGTTGAACCATGCAAATATCGTCTTTATTTTGTCATGTCGTTGTGACTCGGATTGGAAAACCTTTCTGGTCGCAATGTGCACACGCCTTGACTTCTTAATGGCATGCAAATAGCTCAACTGGCAAATAAAGGCTAGGCCCGGGCCCTGGGGCTCCTTTCTATATCCCATGGAATTAGTCGAAGTACAAACAAACTAAACCAGACACCAAGGTTGCCAAAAAAAATGGCATACCAGCCTGCATGTTGCCGCTTGAATCTTGAGCAACATTTTGTTAACACGAATGAAGCATAATCTTCAGGACGAGAAAAAAAAAGTAGTCTCATATTTGGCATAACATGCTACAAGAATGAGGTGGTATCGAGACCCATTTTCATTGAACACAACTAGAGTTTTTATGTTCCACATAAAAAGGTAGAACAACATTGGACAAAAATACAAAATTACTATTTTACCCTTCTAATGTAACAAAATCTAAAAATATTATATATATATATATATATATATATATAGAGAGAGAGAGAGAGAGAGAGAGAGAGAGACTTGGGATCATATGAGACCAAGACTTTTTCGTGAGACCTGTAAGACCAATTTTCAACCCTTGGATTAAATCTACAATCTCAACATTCATAATCACAAAATTGTCACGAGACTTCTCAATAATTACAAAATTGTCATTGTGCAACTTTAGACCATTAGATCATTAGCTTATAAAGTTGATCAATTAATATAAATTGGTCTCACGGGTCTCACGAAAAACCTTTGGTCTCACGTGAACCCAACCTTATATATGTATATATAATTTTATCTTTTATAATAAAATTATTTGTACAACATTTAGGGACAATCTTGTCATCTTAACTGTTTTGTCATGTCATGTTCTAGTCCTATCAAACATAGGACAAACAATTGGAATTGTCTAATCTTGTTCAACCTTGTTTGCTCACCAAACAATTCACTTACCAGATGTAGTGAAATAGGTCGGTGAAAAAATTATGGGAATTTTATGATTTTAGCCTAAGTTTAGCAAACTGATTGATAAATTAGCTTGTAGCTGATAAGTTAGCTGATGAACAAATCATTAATTTGGATATGTAGTTTAGTAATTTGCCAAATTTGTCTCATTTTTATGATGTCTGTTCCACCTATAATGGGACAAAAAAATGTGTTCCTTTTTCGTTCAGTCCTATCGAGTATGGATCTGATGTTTGCTCCAAACATGGTACAACAGATTCATGTTATGTCATGTCATGTCTTATTCTGGTCAGATACCAATTGAAATAACTGTTTTTATAATATTTATCAATCAATAGGATATATTGTGCTTCTTTTTATTCTCTTTTGCTTAGTTTTCAAAGCCAAGATAATTGATAAATATTTCCAAAAATAGAAAGTTGTGTAATTCAAGAGTCAAGACCTCTCTTTCCTGGTTTCCATTTTTATAATATGATTATTGTTCTAGATAAAGGATGTGTGAAGTCTTCTTTTTGGAAGAAATGTTTCTAGAAATAGAAATGAATTTATATGGTTGTTAGATATTGTCAATGGGGTAACATTAACTCTAGAAGAACTATATTATGGAGTGTTTGGGATTGCTTATAAAAACGAATTATTGACTTATTTCGGTGTGACACTGGTAATAAGCATTTTTTAGTGTTTGGATAAACAGTTTATGCTTGTGACAAACCGGTAATAAGGAGTTTTTGAAGAAGTTAAATTATTCTAACTTATAATAAGTTGATAAAGATTTTTGTAGAAAAACATAAATTGTTTCAAGTAAGCAATCCCAAACACCTCCTAAATTTTACACAAAAATGTAAAATTACATATATAATTTTTTTTAAAAAAAATTTATGTTGTTAATGTAAATTTTGGTGTAAATAAACAGTGTTATATTAAATTTGGTGTGTTACTGTCCATTATACCAAATTTTATTTAAGGTATGGTGTCTCCATTAGAACTGTTTAATGTTAGATTTGGTTTTTTTTTTTTTTTTTTTTTTTTTTTTTTTGATTAACCTGAATATCCAATCTGCTATGGGAGCCGACTAATTCCATGACGACCACTTGTTTTACAGGTAGCTTGAAGTCATCGTATTTGTACCTTTATGGCCATAAGAGGATTTTTATTTCTCATTGGATTTGAACCTTTGATCTTCAGGCACTTTTGACCTTTGGAGTTAAGCTCAAACCAATCAGACACCACCCTTATGGTTTAGATTTGGTATTTAGTGTAAAATTTATTACCCTAATACCGTATTACGATACATATTTGGTAATTTAAAATTATTTATGTCAATAAAACTTAAATTACCATGTAATATTATATAATATATAAAGTCATATGACTTTTATCATATAACATGTTTTATGTAATGTTAATTTTACTGGTCAATAATCATTTGAACGTGTTGAATATATGATTTATTTGATCGTTGACAATTTCATGTTGATAATTGATCAAGTTATAGAAAATAGTCAAGAATTAAAATATTGTTTAAAATATAATATGGATGATTAGTTATTGACTGGTTTATACAATTATTTATGCATACTTTAATTAAGGGGTCGTTCATTAAATGCTTACCCGGTAAGTACTTACTGAGCAATTTTCCTCACCGAATATACATGGCAAGGGGAAAGAATCTTATCCGGTAAAAGCGATAGTAAGGATGGAGAGTCTTACCCGGTATTTAAGTGAAGGTGATGACTCTTACCCGGGTAAGTGCTTACCAGGTAAATTGTTGCATAAATACGTTTTTATGTACTATAGTTTTACCCAGTAAAATTAAATTATAATGTTTGACTCCTAATGACAAACACTTACCGAGTAAGCATTTAGGTAAACTGCCCCTAAATATTTATATTTGTGAGTTGTGACAATGTAAATTAAATAAGTTCAATTTTTAAGTGATTAGATTTCATGGTGGATTCTAACAATGAATTTATCAATTCATTATTTGATATGTAATAATAAAATATGACATATTTTCTTATCACTTCTCAATGAAATAAAAGGATATGATAATCATAAGGGTGGTGTCTGATTGGTTTGGGTTTGAGCTTTTAAAGTTAAAAGTGTCTGTAGGTCTCAAGTTCAAATCCAAGGAAGAATAAAAATCCTCTTGTGGCCACAGAGGTTCAAATGCGGTGACTCTAAGCTACTTGCAAAACAGGTGGTCGCTCTGGGATTAGTCGGCTTGCATAGCAAGTTGGATATTCAGGTTAATAAAAAAATGATGTAACTCAAATAGAAGAAAAGTCCTTAGTTCGATTCCGGGTCTTTCGCTGGTTTCAGCTACGGAGCGAGCTATAAAATATTCCCTCATA